GCGCCGCTGCCCGCCGGATCAGCGCCGCCGCCTCGCCCTCGCCGCCCGCAGCGCGCTGCAGCGGCGTCGGCTCGCCCTCGTGCAAGCTTGCGCCGCTGCGGAGGAGGGAGGTGGCACGGGCGGCGGTGAGGGTCTCAAGGTGCGCGAGCGGCGTCCAGCCGCGGCTGGCGACCAGCCAGGCGGCGAGGTCGGCGTGGCCGCGGCTGTTTGCCACCTCCTCGGGCGTGCCGAAGGGCGGCACCGCGGCGCGGGAGGCGCCGTAGGAGGAGAGGAGCTTGGCGATCTCGACATGGCCGAAGTGGCTCGCAGCGAACAGCGGCGTGACGCCGTTCTGCTTGGCTTGGTCGACCGCCGCGCCAGCCTCGAGGAGCAGCGCGGCGACCTTGAGGTGGCCCTTCTGGCTCGCCATCAATAGCGGCGTGGCGCCGCTCTGCTTGGCTTGGTCGACCGCCGCACCGGCCTCGAGGAGCAGCCGGGCGCACTTGAGGTGGCCGTTCTGACACGCGATGTACAGCGGCGTGGCGCCATTCTCCTTGGCCTGATTGATCGCCGCGCTGGCCTCGAGCAGCAGCCGGGCGATCTCGAGGTGGTTGTTCTGGCACGCAACGGAGAGCGGCGTGGCGCCATTGTCCGTGGCTTGGCCGACCGCCGCGTTGGCCTCGAGAAGCAGGCGGACGATCTCGACGTGGCCGTTCTGGCACGCGATGAGCAGCGGCGTGACGCCATCGTTGCGGGCTTGGCTGACCGAAGCGCCCGCCTCGAGAAGCAGCCGGGCGATCTCGAGGTGACCCCTCTCGCACGCGATGAGCAGCGGCGTGGCGCCGTCCTCCGCGGCTTGGCTGACTGCCGCGCTGGCCTCGAGAAGCAGCTCGGCGCACTCGACGTGGCCCTGCTGGCACGCGATGTACAGCGGCGTGGCGCCGCCATCCATGGCTTGGTTGATCAAAGCGCCGGCGTCGCGCAGCAGCCGGGCGATCTCGACGTGGCCCTTCTCGCACGCCATGCACAGCGGCGTGGCGCCGTCCTCCGCGGCTTGGTTGAGCGAAGCGCCAGCGTCGCGCAACAGCCGGGCGACGTCGAGGTGGCCCTTCTGGCACGCGATGTACAGCGGGGTGATGCCGTCCTCATCGGCTTGGTTGACCGCCGCGCTGGCCTCGAGGAGAAGGTGGGCGCACTCGACGCGGCCCTCTTGCCGGCATCGCGCAGCAGCCGGGCGATCTCGAGGTGGCCCTGCCAGCATGCAATGTACAGCGGCGTGGTGCCATCATGCGTGGCCTGGTTGATCGCCGCGCTGGCCTCGAGAAGCAGCCGGGCGCACTCGAGGCGGTTGTTCTGGCACGCGATGAACAGCGGCGTGGTGCCTTTCTCAAGGGCTTGATTGATGTCAGCGCCAGCGTCGCGCAGCAGCCGGGTGCACTCAATCTGCCCCCCCTGGCACGCGATGAACAGCGCGGCGCGGCCGGTGCCGTTCGTCGCCCCCACGCTCGCGCCGGCTTCGAGCAGCAGCCGCACCGCCTCGGCTTGCCCGTGACGAGCGGCCCAGGTCAGCAGCGTGTCTTGCGTGTTGGTGTCGAGCCGCGCGTCGAGCCTGCCGCGCGTCCGCCGACCGGAGAGGAAGGCGCGCAGCGAGCCCAGGTCGCCCACCGCCAGGTAGCCCAGAGGAAGGCTAACGCCGCTCATCTGCCCCCTGCCCGCTCATGCCGCCAGAAAGAAGAAAACGGCAGCCTTCAGCATGTCCTGGTACGGAGGCGTCGCCGCCGCGCTTGCGCGCGCGCGGGGCGGCGCCGGAGCCCACCTGCTGGCTGGCACCGCCACGGCGCGACGCCCGGGGCGGGACGCGGGGTCGAGAAGAAGACTCAGAGCGAGGCTTCAGGGCAGCTCCACAACGAGCATTCTGACGCCGAGAAGCTCTCTGGCGACGAGCAGCGGCGGAGAGGCCTGGGCGATCCGGCCGATTCGGCGGCGCGCGGCGCGCAGGCACCCCACCCGCCCACGGCCGCAGCGGCGTGGCTGGCGAGGACCGCCCTCGCCTTCCTCGGCGAGAATGGCGAAACTCTCCTCGCAGTCCTACATCCAAAACGGCGACTCGCGCGCGTGGCACGATTGGCCCCTCGGGCGCGCTCGATGCCCAGCCCCGCGGCGCGTCGTTCCGTTTTGCCGCGGTGCCGCATTCGTCGAAGTGCTTCTTTAGCAGGCGGTGGACTGTCGGCTGCGAGGACGGTCGCACTTGCGCGAGGCGAGGCGAGCATTGCTGCGCATTGCATGCGCCATGACTCGCGCTAGCGCCTGCGGGAGCTCCTGGCTGAGCGTAGGTTGAGTCCAGGCGAGTTGCGCTGGCCACGATCGCTGCGCCAAGCCGAGCTGACGCGCCGAGGCGCCGGCCAGTCGCAGCCGTGAGACATGCCACAGCAGCAGACTCTGGCACCTCTGCCACCCATTGGGCGGGAAGACAGAAGGCCAGGCCAGCGCCCAGGCAAGTGCAACGCGCCTCATGTCGGAGAGCGACGTGCCTCGTTCACCGCTTATGATGTAGAGGTTGTTGTAGAGATTTCACATTGTCCTATGTAACGACGGTCAACGGACCTGTCCACTCGTCGTGTCCTCCTGTGTCCAGCGCGCACGGCGCACAGCGGCGCAGCGGCCCTCCAGTGCAAGCGGTCTGTCGTCAGCAAGGAGAGTGGACTCAGCTGCCAAATCGGCCAAAAAATCCGCTATACGGCTCTATCCCGTATCCGGCAAATCGCGCCTGTATGTGTACCGTCTACGCAAAAGAGCGAACACGGGCCACTCGTTTGTTTGGCAAGCGCTCGCGGCCGGCGCTCAATCCTGCCGACACGATACATGCGAAGTACTCCCGGACCACTCCCTCCCCACCTCGACAGAGACCGGGACACTCGCTGGTGCGCGCCCCTCCTAGCGCCAAACACCGGCGGCTGCACACGGCTAGCAAGCTGGCCGGAGGCCGGCTACACCGTCTCCTGCTCGGGCGAGAGCGCCTCGAGCATTTTGGAGATGTCCTGCTCGCGCGCCCCGCCGGCGGCCGGCAAGTACTCCGACTCGGACAACGTCGCGGCCACGTTGCAAGCGCGCGGGTCGAGCAGCGACCGGACGATCACCTCTGCCACGTCGGCGCGCGAGACGGACCCGCGCGCGCGCGCCGCGCTCGCCGCCTCCTGCGAGAAGACGAGGCGACGCACGCCGCCGGGTAAGTCGTCGAGCAGCGCCTAGCGAGCGGCAAGTCGAGGAAGTGTCTCGGAAGT